ATTCGTTTTAATTCGGTCTAGTTAATTTTTTGAAATCATGCAAATTATTTGCAAGAAAAAGGAAAAGAAAATTGTTCGGAATCATTGGTATTTGAAACTCACTGACGAATGCACCAAACATATTTGATAGAGCAATCAGCTAATGGTACTATGATATTTCTTCGTTGAATCCGATCTATCTTTGTGTTAATTGTAAAAGAATGAAATGAACCAAAGTAAGTTATACTAAAAATAAAAAAACAAATCAGTATATACATCACTGCACTTTAAGTAAGACAATTGCGCAATTGTGGAAAAAATAGATTTTATTGCTTTGGAAAGCTTGGCATATTCGAAATTAGGTTTATGCTAAGAAGATTTTCAGTTTTTGGAATCATTATTAGTCATCTTTTGCTATAGATTGTATTTTAGATTGTTTGAACTTTTGACCATTATGCATTAAACCATTCAAAACAGTGATTCCATCTTTTCTCAAGTCGATTTTTCAAAAATAAACATTTTTGCTTCCAGATATTACGAGCTTGTTTGTTGCAAATGAAATGAATGGTAGGAAATACGGCACAGTTGAAAATAATACAGCAATTAACAAAAATCCTCGATGGAATATTAGCTTTTTCACCGAATATTTTGACTGCGAATGTTGGCAAAAAGTTGAAAATAATAATTTCAATTTCCATGAAGAAACAAGTTAATGCTGCTTGAATTAATGTCGACCACTCGTAATTATTAATTTTTCTAGTTCTCATTTCGATTCTGGTAAATATCCTTGAAATTTCTAAATTGAATTCTTTGTTACTCCATTAAATTAATAAATATGTACGAAATCCAGAAAAATTTATCAGATTCAAAAAAGAGAAAAAAAAAACTCATTCAAAATTAATTTTGCAAATAGTTTTGCAGCGTAACATAAAAATTTAATGATTTATATATTAGTTCAATCTCATTAAGCAAAAAATAACATTTCTAACTTTTGTTTTGATTATGTAACGAAAAACTCCGATTATGTCTAATACCGCAGAATATTGCAATATATATAACGAACACAGCAATAGGTAGTGATGCTGTCCAAAAGTGATAAAATCTGAAAAGTAGTGCAATATTATAAAATGACATTTAACTGATGCTTAATATAACTATGAAAAATTGAAAAGTACTAGTACTATAGCATTGTTTGGAGATTACTGTAAGAATCTTTTGAGGTCAGTGCAATACAATAGCTTATATTGAAACTTTTCAGTCTGGTACGGTTCATTCGAAACATAAATAGGAAATCGCATGTTAATTATTTTGATGCTTTTACCTAGATTCATGCTTAAATGTCACTTAGCCAAATGTCTAAAATAGGAATTTCATGTACCTTCCACAAAATTAGCCTAGCCTTAGTACACTAATAATTGTTATTGGTTGGTAAGCAATTTATAAAGAGACGAAAATTTAAATCATATTTCAGTGCATAGTAGTTGATATTTTACATAGTAATTTATCATTGTCTTCATATTTTTTGCTCTCAACTAATAGTATACGGTAAGAAAAGTTCACATCAATTCTAAAAGAGCGTATAATTTTTGAATTGAATGCAAAATAAATTAGGCGTAATTTCAAATTATGAAACAAATCACAATTTCTTATATATAACATAAACAAATTAAAGCGCTTCAAAATGAGTCATTTATTATTTGAATGAGCAATTTGTTATCATTTATTTCTTTCATTACTTTAACTATAATCATTGTAAGTTACATCCTGCTAAATTTAAAGTTTGAATTTTACCACTTTCGAAAGTGCAAAACAGTTCGAAATTATTACTTGATGAACAATTCTCCACCTTCCTTTGACCCTTCTGTACAATTTCTATACCAGCGTAAGTCCGAAATACAATACATTACAGTACAATAATAAAAATTGGCTGCTGTGATAGCTGAAATTTCAGCTTTGTTCTGCGTAAATGATAAGAAAAAATACAGGAATGAAGAATTTAAACATGAATTTATATTTATTTGTATCAATATATATTTCCAATACTTATTTCATATATTTCAAAAATAATGTTCAGAAACTTTCCATTACTTAAAATATGCCAAAAAAGTTACTTAAATATTTATTTAGATGGTCGATTTAACCATGAGCTATTTACGATTGTTTTTGACATTTTTTGACTTTTGACATGAGGAATATCAATGGAATCTTACCAAAAGCTAACAGCCATACACAACATAGCAGAAATTTCAATTTCTTAGACTCGAAAATGCCATGAAATTTGGGTAAATTTATGATTACAAAACGATTCACAGATAACAAAAATGCAAATTGCAATGTAGCAATAAATAGAAATGTATCGATATGAGAGAATATGCCGCCAGTCCATATTGTATTACTTACTGAAATATGCACAAATTAACATTAACGGTAGTTTTTAAAATGTTGGATATGAATAAAACCATTTACTATTAATAATGAATATATAAAGAATATATGCTTTATAATATTTAAAGGCACAATCGTACAATAAAAACTACATTGTTAATCATAAAAAGAAAGATACTTGATTAAATAGAAGCCTAAATAATTATTGATGAAGAAAAAAAACTCAAATTTTTGCATTTTGTGTAATTAGAAGTTCTTAAAAATTGAACTTCTTGTTGAGCTTTTAATGCCGTATAGTTTTAAATTATATGTACTAAAGTTTCTCATATAGCGAGTTATTGTTAGCAACTTTAGTAGTATTAACATTCATTCCTCTGGATATCACTTTCGAATGATAGTATGAAATGTGGCATTAATGTTTATTCCTTTGAACATCATTTTCAAAAAAAAAAAAAAAAAATGATATAATCATTCAAAATGAAAGGATCATTATATAACACAGATGTGAATGGAGAATGGATAAATAAAATAACTTACCATTTGAATTATCTTTATTTTGCAATATTTGAGGCAAAATAAATAAAACTTGAAGAAGAGAGATTGAAAGGTTGCAAACGATAAGTTGTGATGTGATAAGAACAAATGAATGATTGTAAAGATTATCTCGACGACAGAATTCAAATATCAATAATACATTGCTAACAATACTGTACAACAAAAGCAATGAAAACAGTACAACCGCCACGTATCTTTCTACCGTACTACGTTCATCCCTTATATCGAACACATTTGTCGTATTCTCTGCGTGACACTTTAACGGTAATATCGACAGTAATACAATAATACAGTAATAATAAGCCACCATTTTGCTTATTGACAGTCTTTTCCGCTTTATTTCACCTCACTTCAGCTACGAAATAAGTATTAATAAAAGTTTAAATGCTTGAAATATTAATACTAGAAAATGATTTCAACTCAGCGTTGTAAGAAAATCTTTGTCATTGTAAAAATGTGTTAATATTCAAATGAAGGAAGTAAATTTAATAAAGCGAAATCAGGTTCTTGCTCTTGTGCGTATCAATCAAAGTTGCTGAAAGAAGTTTGATGTAATCCACCATTTTTAATATTAAATCATATTAATAGAAGTTGAATTTATTGAACATTTAAAGTGAATAGAAAGCATAAAGTAAGTTCATTTTGTAGCCTTCTCCTCAGATATTATAAGATTGAAATTACTGATATAAGAAAGAAAAGAAGTTGGCATTTTCCAATTATGTGCTTTGATTCATTTTCTATATTGCTAATATAAATAAGCTAGCAAAGTCTTCATGAGGCATTGTGTAATTTGCTTTTACATAATACCAATAATTGAATAATACGTAAAGGTATAAACATATTAGGAATAATATCATAATGATATTTTTAGATAATGAAAATGTGAGTTACTGTAGCTTTTACAAATGTGTGATACCAAATGTGACTTACTGTAACTTTTACAAATGTGTAATACCAAATGTGACTTACTGTAACTTTTACAAATGTGTGATACCAAGTGTGACTTACTGTAACTTTTACAAATGTGTAATACCAAATGTGACTTACTGTAACTTTTACAAATGTGTAATACCAAATGTGACTTATTGTAACTTTTACAAATGTGTGATACCAAAGGTGACGTACTGTAACTTTTACAAATGTGTAATACCAAATGTGACTTACTGTAACTTTTACAAATGTGTAATACCAAATGTGACTTACTGTAACTTTTACAAATGTGTAATACCAAATGTGACTTACTGTAACTTTTACAAATGTGTGATACCAAGTGTGACTTACTGTAACTTTTACAAATGTGTAATACCAAATGTGACTTACTGTAACTTTTACAAATGTGTAATACCAAATGTGACTTACTGTAACTTTTACAAATGTGTGATACCAAGTGTGACTTATTGTAACTTTTACAAATGTGTGATACCAAATGTGACTTACTGTAACTTTTACAAATGTGTAATACCAAATGTGACTTACTGTAACTTTTACAAATGTGTGATACCAAATGTGACTTACTGTAACTTTTACAAATGTGTAATACCAAATGTGACTTACTGTAACTTTTACAAATGTGTGACACCAGATGTGACTTATTGTAACTTTTACAAATGTGTGATACCAAATGTGACTTACTGTAACTTTTACAAATGTGTAATACCAAATGTAACTCTTGTCTAATGACAGCTTCTATTTTTCAATAGTTTATGAAAAGCAATAGATTATATATGAATTATATCAGTTGCGCATATTTACTCAAAACTTAGCTAAAAATGAATTGGATGAATTGAGATGATAGTCAAATGCCAGCAGAATCAATATTGGCTTTATCATTAATATCAATGACCATCAGAAATCTTTGCAACTATGAAATAAATTTTTAGTCAAAATGAATGAACCATATAGAAAAGAGATGATAAGATAGCTCAAAATACTGAAATAAAACATAAGAGCATGAGATAACAGAAAGCGTTACAGTTCAGCATAAAATAGCTATAGAATATAAGCTTGTGCTATTGAGCAGAAATCAAACATGGTTATATTATATTAGTGCAGATGAGAAATTCAATGAATTTTATTTATAGTTAATGTAAGTGGTAATCAGTAAACATTCTTTTCGTGACCTTAATTTTAGAAAATAATTTTACGAGTGCTTGTTTCACGCTTTCTCGAAATCGTTTGACGAAAATTAAATTGGCGGTAGGCAATACAGCAGCACTGAAAATTACAAAACAGTTGGTCAAAATATTGACGAAAATTTCAACTTCTTTGCCTACCAGTTTGATGGTAAGCTTCGACAGGAAGTTGAAACAGAAAATTTGAATTTCCATTGCACCACAAACAAACACTGCCTGAATCAACATCATTCGTTCATATTTGCTTGTTGCAATCGTTTTCTTGTGCTCATATCCTATAGAAATCCATATAACAGCTAAATTTAATTGCTTCATTTAAAAATTAAGTGAAATAAGAAAATGAAAAAAAGGATTGAAATGATTTTGAAATTTCAAAGATTTCTGAAAATGTTTGAGAAAAAATTCAATGGAATATTTATGATAAATGAACATAATTTATATTTTTTCAAGATAGCGCGAAATAAAAAAAGTAGTGCAATAATATATAAATTACCGTTCACCATGCACAAATTCGAAACATTCTTCCGTTTGTTACGCATACTGCAGAATATTAGAATATAAATTGCGAACATCGCAATGGGTATCGCAAGAGTCCATGCATAACGCATTCTGAACATAAATAACCAAACATGCAAACAAACGGAAGTAAGCATATATGCGGGAAGTAAAAATGTTAGCCGATGGACAATAATTGCTTTAGCAAAAAGAAAATTGAACTTATAATCATCGAAACTGTTTTTATATTTTTGTAGCACATAAAATATACTTAAAATTCTTCCGTTTTTAATGCATATTATTCTTTTTTTAAAAGAAAAAATATGAAATTCAAAGGAAAACGAACTTCATAAACACAGCTCCACTTTCTGGCGTTCTTTTGGTACAATTAAATGACCATTTGAAGTTTGATACATTAAAAATTTTGATGCAATAATGAAATTCTACTAGCGATATTACTGAAAAATCATTTGCGAAATTTTAGACACTGATAGTTCATCATAAAAGTGAAATTAGTATGATAAGCTCGTAGTGTTGCTTACATTTTAACAGGGTCAGGCATAAATTTATCACTGAGGTTGCAAAATAATTAAGTTCTGATAACTCCAGTTAGACTGACTACTATGCACTGAACAACCACCGAATGATAATTTCTAAACTTAGTTACGACTTATATTACGATGCCATTCGCAGTCTCTTTTTAACCAATTCTTTTTTATAAAATATTGCATAAAATGATTGGTGTAACCTACCGAAACCTGATAACCATAGGAAGATGAGCAGAAAATAGAATTTCATCGATTTGAAAAAAGCGTTAAATTTTGGAAAACGTATAGCTATAAGGCGATTCATTGCCAATAAAAATGTTAAGTGCAACGAGACGAAAAACGAAAATGTACTCAAAACAGAAAATATTCGGTAAATCCATGCTGAAATTTGTACTTAAATACTGATGGAATAGATAATCAAAACAAAATTGTTTAATCATTTGTGACATTACATGAAATAAATGTAATTCAACTTTATTTATTAACATACTATGCTGTAATCAATTTAATTATGAATATTTCAAATCATATAAATGATAAGTTAGTGATATATAAGCGAACATAAAGAACTTACTCCCAAAATTTTTGTTCCTTACTATTTTAAGCACAACAATGGTCGCTTGTGGGATAAAGTTCAAGAAGCTACAAACAATAATTTGTGATGCGATAATAATGAACGCTCGACTGTAAAGATTGTCACGGCTACAGAATACCACCATTAACAGTACATTGCTGACAATACCGTATAACAAAAGCAGTGAAAACAGTACAACCGCCACGTATCTTTCTACCGTATTACATTCATTCCTTATATCGAACACATTTGTCGCATTCTCTGCGTGACAGTTTAATGATAATATCAGCAATAATGCAATAATACAGTAAGAATGAACAATTGTTTTATCCATCGATAATGCTTTCCGGAAACTGTAAGATTTTTAGTGTCTAAAATATTTATAAAATATATGTTAGTTTTTAATGAAAGTATAAATTTAATCGTTAAATTAAGTCTTTGTTTTTTTGATTACTATTTATCAAATTGTCTGAAACCGGTTTAATTCTTCAGTATATATTCTTCAGTATTAAATCGTATTATTAAAAGTTAGATTTATTAAGAAATTAAATTGGGAAAAAATTTAAATAATTAGTTTTGAGCTTTATCCTCAGGTATAATGAACTTGAATTTATTGACATAAGAAAGAAATGAGCACAGCATTTTCAAACTATACCGTTCGATCTGCTTCCTTAATCATTCTTGTGCATAATATAAAAAGTCGTCATCAGACGACACACAATTTTGCTTTACTTACATAATACCAATAATTGAATAATGCATCAAATTAAAACATAATTTTATTACCAATAATATGTATCATGAAAATATTTTCCAAGTAATTAAGGCATAACTGCAAATAACTTTTAGATCATGTGAATACAAGTTGCACCTCATAACAATTTCAGAATATCTTTATAATTAATACTTTCGTTTTTAGAAACACATAAAAATACTACTGATCCGTTAAGCACCAGCAATTTTCTCGGACTGCGATTGTTTAATTCTGGAGAAATCTCAATCTGTTTTGTCTTGGGTAAGCACAATTCGTGAAAAGTAACACCTTCCAGTCGCATAATTTGATCAATTATTTTTTCACACATTGAATGAAACATTCATATTTGGCAACAAAAAGCAAAACTGTCAAAAGTGTACTATCTTTTTTTGTGTATTAAATATTTAAAATTTTTTGTTAATATTAACTGACCAACTAGGGAAGGTTTTAGTCTTGATTGATTTTTTGCATGGAGGCAATTCCCCTCTCTTTCCCTCTCTCTACATCTTCAAACTTTTGATTGATTTCTTGCATGGAAGCAATTTTTTTTTCTCTCTCTCTCTCTCTCAGTCTTCAATTTATTTCTTTAAGTAAAATTTTTCACTTTTACTCTATTTAAAATATAGTTATGATATGATTATTCACTTGCAAAGCATTACTTATCACTCTTAACATTTATCATATAAGTGTGTGTGATTTTGTAAGAAAGGAAAATAGAAGCAAAATAGCGCATCGAACTTTCATTGTAATTAACAAAAAAATTATATTTAGTGAAATGATATCATTATTTGGTTCAATAATATTTGAAAAATTTTCAAGAGTGCTTTGAAAAAATTTTATACATTCAAATTTAAATGACTACCCATCACTTGCTAGCATTAATATATATTAGGTGTTTATTTATCTGAGAGATATCACATGTAGCAGAACCGATTTTCAGAGCGTTAGGTCTGACAATAACAGATAATGGAGCAGGAAAAGCATTTATCAAACGGATCTTCCCTGATACCATAACTTCAAAAGCAAAACCAGCACTTCAGGTAATTACTGACATGCAGTTTGAGGGAATAAGGTGACAAAGGGAGAAATTGTTTTATAACAAACTTTTATTCATTCACTCTTTTAGTATAGTCAATCATTTAGCATTTATTTCTCTCTGAAATTATCATTAAACCTTCGAATTGAATCAGCCAACAGGAATGACATTCATTTTTTTGTATTGAAAGGCAAAATATTTGAATAGTGTTACCTTATGCTTTCCATAATAAATTATTGTTATAGGCAAAAATTCGAATCTACAAATCTTACCTGAAATCAGTACACATCAAAAACTTGATTAGAACTTTAACTTCAAATGCATTAATGTTGGAAAAAGATTGTGAATAAAAAGTTATAATTTTTAGGTGGGTGATTTCATCGAAAAAATAAACGACGAAAGTATGGTTGGACGAAAACATTTTGATGTTGCTCGGTGTTTACGTGCATTACCTACTGGTTCAACGTTAGTTGAACTTCTTAATTATCACTATTTTTAAGCAAAATTAAATTATTATACAATGTATTGCTTTCTAGAAGTAATACTTTGATGAAATTTCTGAAATTCAATCTTTGTTTATTTATAGCATCTAAAGCTCACCAATAAAAGGAAAATTTGTCACATTTTCATGTATTTTATTAAATAATTTGACTTCACCAATATTTCTAAAGAAAAATTAAATTTATGGCTTCTTTTTTTTTAAGATTCACAATGCGATTGGTTGAACCAAAACGAACAGGGTTTAATTTTATAGCTTCTTATAGTATGCCAAAGCGCATGCGTCCAATTTTGGATACAAATGAAACAATACGATTTAAAGCTGATGGAACGGTAATTGTGCAGGTAGTATTAATTTCTCTTATTTGATGCCCTTTTTTTTCCTTTTAAATTCATTAAGAAGATTTTTTAAGTTATTTGAAGAATTTAGACTGTTCGATAAAGCGAACGAAATGGATGTTAGACTTTCAGAAATTTTTCAAGTAAAAATTACTGATGATTGATGACGAGAACACATCATTATACAATATAAAAGTTATTTCTGCACTACATACGACATGATAATACTTAATTCACAGTGCAAAGGATAGAATTGCAAACCAAAAAAGTTTTTTTTTTTTTTTAAGCTGAATTAAGGCTAATGACTTTATAGCTTATTTTGCTAAAAATTCCTATAACTATTAACATTGAATTGAAGGAAGGACAAGCAAAAGTAGGTCATTTGAAAGCGATGATCATTCTTTTTGTTCATCAGATGAGGAAGTGTTAATTGAATGATTTTGAGAATGCCAAGTCGCATATTTCAAAGAAATAGAAAATGACACTATTATTATACATGGGAAATGAAGATGTCTAATCAGAGTTAAAGCAGTTGAAAAAGTTCTTAATTCTGTATAGCAAATGCACAATTAAATATTTGAAATATAGCAGTTACAGAAAGTGCTCAATTCAAGATTGATTGCTCATAAATTGATTTATCTCAGCTCATATGAGAAACTGGATGAACTTTTCTCATAGCTATTGAAGTAGACTGTGCCACAGTAGGTATTCTTTTCACGATTTTAATTTTCGATAATAATTTTAGAAATTTCCGTTTCAAGCTTTCACGAAATCGTTTGACGAAAATTAAGTTGGTGGTAGGTAGCACAGTAACACTTAAAATCATATAACAGTTGATGAAAATATTGACGAGAATTTCAACTTCTTTGTCTGCCAGTTTGACGACAAGCTTCGGCAGAAAACTGAAACAGATAATTTGAATTTCTATCGCACCACAAACAAATACCGCTTGAATCAACATCATCCGTTCATATTTGTTTGTTGCAATCATATTCCTCTCGTCATATTCTATAAAAATTGAAAGAGTAGAGTAAAAGAAAAAAAAAATGTTGAAATGAGTTTGGATTCCCAAGGTTTCTCGAACTGTTTGGAAAAGACTTCAGAGGAATGTTTGTCACAAATAAGCACAGATGCTGCGCGAAATTCGAAAAAAAAACTAATGCAAGTGCTACTGTTATTGTTGCATCTATCCGCAATATTCGTCCGTTTGTTACGCATACTGTAGAATATCGGAATATATACTACAAACATTGCTATAGGTAATGCAAGTGTCCATATATAACGAATTCTGAATTGAAATAACTGATTGGCCAATGGAAAGTAATTATTTCAACAAAAAGAAAATTAGACTTCTCGTAACCGAAACTGATTCTAAATTCTCACAACACAGTGAAATTAATTTAAAATAATACATTCTTTAAATTCAAAAAGTAAAAATAAAAAAATAAAAAACACAAACTTCAAAAACACAGCTCCACTTTCTGGCGTTCTTTTGTTGCAATTAATAGACCATTGCAAATTTAACGCATTAAAAGTTTTGATGCAATAACAAAATTCCATTAATGGTATTACTGAAAAGTTATTTAAGAAATTCAAAGGACTGGTGCTTTACTATGATTAAAGTGATACATTGGCATGTTGGAAAGGTGATGCACGTTTTTATCAATCAGCTTGTGATAAAGTGGGGAAGGAAGTAGCAGTTAAGACTGATTTTAAAATTCATATTAAGAGATTAATTTAAAAGCTTACAGGCACAGACACGGTAGGCATTGCTTGTATATTGCTTGCACATAAAACTGTTTCAATTAGTAATTCTTTCAATAATTTAAATAAAACGGAAAAAAAGCTGCATTATACCGAAACTTGATGTCCATGCCAAGAAGAGAAGAAAATAAATTTTCGTTGACTCGAAAATAGGACTGAATTTCGGTAAACTGATCGCAACAAGGCGATTTACTGCCAACAGAAATGTAAAATGTAATATCGCAATGAAGGAAAATGTGTCTATAGTTGCGAGTATAACGCTAACCCATGTTGGCTTGTACTCTAAAGTATTAATGAATTAAATGATTAATGTAGAATTGTTGTATTGGTCGTTTTTCAAATCAACGTCATTTATTTATAGAAACATAACCAGCTCAATTATTAACTATTATTTACCTATATCAATATGAATAAATTCAATTTAAATTCATACAAGAAATAATTGCCTGCCGCACTTTGTTAATTCAACCTCATTTATTAGCAGACTGTGTCATAACCAAATTAGACTATTACTTACTGTTTTAAATCACCTAAATCCTAATAAATGACAAGCAAATAAGACAAATAAGTAAATGATATGTGTGATAGAAGGAACCAACCGGCACAACTTTTATTCTTTAGTATTCCACCTAAGACAATGGCCATTTGTGGGATAAAGTCCAAGAAGCTACAAACAATAATTTGTGATGCGATAATAATGAACGCTCGACTGTAAAGATTGTCACGGCTACAGAATACCACCATTAACAGTACATTGCTGACAATACCGTATAACAAAAGCAGTGAAAACAGTACAACCGCCACGTATTTTTTTACCGTATTACATTCATTCCTTATATCGAATACATTTGTCGCATTCTCTGCGTGACAATTTAATGGTAATATCAGGAATAATGCAATAATACAGTAAGAATGAGTCATCACTTTGCTCATTGACAATCTTTTCCGGAAACTGCGATTATTGTGCTAAAATGACTGTCAGTATCTAGAGTTTTTAATATATAAATATTAAATAATGAAAAATGCCTTTAGCTAAAATTTTATAACAGTAATTGCAATCATTATGGCGAATGCGATAATATTTAATGAGAATTATAAATTCAATCGCGAAATTAACTTCATACTGCTCTGCCTATTTGTTTAAAGTTGTTGAAAGTAGTTTGATGTTTGATTGCCATTTTCAGTGTTAAATAACTTTTTTTAATGTTAAATTTAACTTTTTTAAAAATTCATTGAAAATTTAAACTGAATAGGAAGTTCAAAATGGGTTTATTTCGTAGCTGTGCTCTCTGAACGGGAATGGGGATGAGGGAAATGTGAGCCTGAACTTATTGATATATGAAGGAAATGAGCTCAGTGATTCCCATGCATGTACTTTAATTTTTTTCTTGGCTTATTGCTAAAAGCAAACTAATAAAATTTTTATTTGGTAATACCAGTGGCTGAATAATATATAATAATGCACAATTTCATTACAAATAATACCACAAAAAAGCACAATTTCATTATGAATAATAGTATAAAGAAATTTCCACAGCAAATGACTTTCTGATAATGCGAATATAACTTCCGTCTTATCACAATTTCAAAACAATTTTCAATCAGTGTTCATAAAAAACAAAAGGACTATGAAGATTGCTTCATCATTTCTCACTTAAATTAACCATTTATCTAACTATCAATTCAGATTTGCATATTGAATGTCCCAATTTATTGACGACGGGTAAGTAAATCTCAGAAATTTTGTCAATGATTTCCAGTATACCACTGCAAATATTTTCCAAATTTCATGTCGTAATCAAAGGATTACAACTTTTTGTTTCTGAAATAGCAATATAAGAAACGTTCCCATACAATCGGATTAGTATGAACTTGCAATGTCACAATCTGCACACTCATAAAATATTTACCAAACAACAATCTCAACTAATTCCAATCAAATTTTTTTTACAAATCACAACAATAATTGGATAATGAAATGATTAATCAATACGTATCGGGAATTTTTATATTTATGAAATGGATTCACAATTAAATGGAATAAGACTTATGAAGAAACAAATAAAATATTCAGAAATTTTTGAAAAAAAATATGGAAAGGGAATAAATTTAAATAAATAAATGACGTAAATAAATAAAAAAATAAATAAATGACGTACTAATACTTTGCCATTCTTCTTACTTCTCACAGTAAGAGGAGCAGATTGAATAGTTTAAGTTAATTGTAACTTCTGTGACAAATTTCATAAGCAAATTTCTTTTCTTTGAATAAAAATAAGACGAATTTCTATAGAAATTCTGGCAGTTGACAAATATTCTCAAAGAAAAAGAGAAAGCATTGCTGCAATCACTTTATTCGGTCCAATCTTAACTAATTTGTTATGCTTTCCCATTTTATTTAAGTTAAGAAATGGACAAACAATTCGGAGTTGCATAAAAAAGCAAAAGAAGCGCAAATGTCTCTAAGTCATTCAAATTATAAATATCTCAAATCTAATATTTGATTGTGGTACAATTTTCAACCAAATAATAAGTCTGTTGTGCTCATTTCATCATCAATCACCTAATGAGCAAATTACTGTAATTATTGATGGAAGCATTTCAATTTTATGATAAAATTTATTTACAAATGTAAAATTGTTGTGAAATTTTTGTAGAAAAGGGAAAAAAGAGAATAACAGAACCAAAAAAAGAGAAAAGATCACATTATCACAATATCAATTTGTCAAAAACTACAAAATTTCCCTCTCTTTTAATGCACTCCAATTGTGCGCTTTAATCAAATCCTTAACAAACAATAATCTCAATGGATTTCAATTGAATCTTCTACAGATTGCTGTCAAAAAAGAAATAATCTTTTATAAAATCCTCCCTTCAACCACCAAACTTTTTAACAATTATCTAAAATAGAATGATACTTCATCGCCAAATTATTCTATGACAAAACATTTTTTGTTTTATTTAATCGCTATGTGTGACGACAATTTCTCTAATATAAGTTGGTTTTCTGGATTTTTGTCGCCGTAATTGGTTGATTACGTTTAATTCTATAGCAAAATTACTTGGGTTTACCAAATAAATTGGTTTAATTACAGATAGTTAACAATTTATAGTTAGCATAATGAACTGCAGTATGCGTAGAAGGTTCTTATTAAAGAAGCTTCTTAAATAATTATAAACCAGCTTGACTAAAACGCTTCAAGAAGCATTAATAAAGACTTCTGCTTATCACCAGACACATTTAGCATTATTTGAGTATATCTTCATAAATCAAATAAAGTTATATCTTAACATTTAATATATTATTCATTTATTTGTTATGATCTAGGTAAAGAAGAATTGTATGCTATCAAATGAAACTTAGCTTACTTGCACTAATAATGAACAGACATGGAGATCAAAGTGCATGTTTGGAAAGCTTTGAGCTTTTTTTTTTTCCTTATATCAATAATTTTAGGTTCACAATACTTGTGGGTGGGGCTGCAACTTGAACTCATTTTAAACTTTCTATTCAATTTAAGTTTTCAATAAATCCTTCTGTTTGTACAGTTTAAGATTTTGCATGACGAACCACGTCAAATTGCTTTTAACAGTTTTGATCGATAAAAAAAATACAACTTATTTTTTCAATTAAATTTTTATTTCTGATTAATTATTCTCACCCAAATGGATATGATATCCACATGTAGTTTAAGCTAAAACATTCTTCATATCACATGTTGTCGCCCAATGGCGAAGCTATAACCTAATAAACAAAGGCTATTGTTTTATTTAATCCACTTCGTAACCTTAACACCCATAAAATCCCTCCCAATTTTCTTCCTTACAAATACACTGATTATAGTTCTTTGTTTGGTATGGCTCGCTTGCGAGGTGTCTAGCTTGCTTATATCTTTAAATGTTTTGTAATTAAGTTACATTTGTGTGTTATGTATCAATTCATTATTGTAATGCTGTATAATATTTAGTATTAATCTGTGGTTTATTTACCCAAGTTTGAGGTTTGAATAATAAAGTATTTCACGAAGATTCCCACAGCACACGTACACAGAACGGAACCAGTACAAATTCGAGAATCTACCAGTATCGAGCACAAAGAAGTCAACGACCTGAACCATCAAGAAAGGAAGCTACTTTGTATCACAAAGAAACAGGGCTGTGATAAAGAAATTCTAAATTTGCTTTTACACATGTAGTTTAAGCTAAAAACATTCTTCATATGTAGCTTAAGCTAAAACATTCTTCATATCACATGTAGTTTAAGCTAAAAGCATTCTTCAAAAAAACATTTCAGAGAATTTTTTTTTTGATGTTTTTTTTTTCGAATTTTGAATTTTTAAATTTCTAGTCATTGACATTCACGTGTGCATGAACTTAAATAATATGAAGTAAGATGGTTCCGTAAAAGATTGTCAATGAGCAAACCGATGGCTCATTCTTACTGTATTATTGCGTTATTCCTGAATGCAATACGGTAAAAAATAAGTGGCGGTTGTACTGTGTTCGCTTCTTTTGTTATACGGTATTGTTAGCAATGTACCGTTGATGGTCGTTTGCTGTGGCTATGACAATCTTTACAGTCATTCATTTGTTCTTATTGTATCACAAATTATTGTTTATAGCTTCTTGAACTTTATCCAACTTTATCTATATTTTCTTATTTCGTGCAGTCTTGCAATAGCACAAATTAAGTTTGTTTGTGACAAATATTTTTTTGAAGCCGTTTTCAAACATTTTCAGAATTTGCAATCATTTCAGTCTTTTTATTTAATTTTGAAATAAAGCAGTTAAATATA